TGCGACTGCCAAAGGTGTTGGGATCATCCAAGCTGAACCCGGACGTAAGCAGAGCTGTCTCGAAAAGCAAGAGGACCAGGTCCTTTACTGATTTGTCATTCTTGTCAGCATCAGCTCTCTTCCTCAACTCCTCCATGATTGGGTTCTCTGGATTAATCTCCATTGTTTTCTTGCTTGACATATACCCCCCCATGCTGCTATCCCTAAGAGCTTGTGCCTTCATGATTCTCTCCATGTTTGCGCTCCAACCATACTCTCCAGTGACCAAGCAGCAGGGTGAGTCCACCACACGATCAGACACCACAACCTTCTCCACCTTGTCACCAAGCACATCCTTGATCACCTTGCATAGACCCTCAAACTTCTCCTTCAATTCTTCCTTCCTCTTTTTCTCATCTTCGGTCTCATCAATCTTAAGACCTTCCTTGGTTGCAGACACCAACTTCTTTCCCTCAAATTCCTTCAGCTGTCCCACAGCATATTCATCAATTGCATCAATCATATATAGGACCTCGTATCCCTTCTTCTTCAGCTTCTCAAGGAATGGGGAATTCTCAACAGCCTTCTTGCTCTCTCCTGTAATGTAATAGATATCACTCTGGCCCTCCTTCATCCTCGTTACATAATCCTTCAGACTGGTCATCTCATCACCACTCTTAGTTGAGTGATATCGAAGTAACTCAGCAATCTTGGATTTGTTCTGCGAGTCCTCGTGAATACCAAGCTTCAAATTCTTAGAGAATGCCTCATAGAATTTGTCATAATCTTCCTTGTTCTCAGCAATCTCAAAGAATAGCTCAATGCACTTCTTGACCAAGTTCTTGCGGATAACCTTGAGGATCTTGTTCTGCTGAAGCATCTCTCTTGAAATATTGAGTGGAAGATCCTCAGAATCCACTATACCCTTCACGAAGCTCAAGTATTCAGGCATCAACTCTTCACAGTTGTCCATGATGAAGACACGTCGTACATAGAGCTTGATGTTGTTCTGCTTCTTCCTTGTGTCAAAGAGGTCAAATGGTGCCCTCTTTGGGACAAAGAGAACAGCTTTGAACTCGAGCTGGCCCTCAACTGAGAAATGCTTCACTGCCAGGTGCTCCTCCCAGTCATTAATGAGGCTCTTATAAAACGCACCATACTCCTCTTTGGTGATCTCCTCTGGCTTCCTCATCCAAATAGGCTTCTGCTTATTCACTAAAGACCACTCATGTGAAACTTCCTTTATCTTCTTCTTTTTCTTCTCCTCCTTTTCCTTCTCCTCATCAACATCCTCTACATTGCCTTCCTCATCCTTCTTATCTTCCTCATCCTCATCATCAGAAATCTCCTTCTCAGTGGTCTTCTCAATCCAAAGCGAAATCGGATAGCTAATAAACTCAGAATGTTTCTTAATCAGATCCTTGAGACGACGCTCCTCAAGGTACTCCAATTGGTCTTCCTTGAGGAAAAGAGTTATCTTAGTACCTCTACCAAGGTTCTCGCCAGAGGTATCCCTAGTGATAGTAAAAGAACCACCAGCCTGAGACTCCCACACATACTGCTCATCATCATTGTGTTTGGAAGTAACAACCACCTTATCAGCAACCAAGTAAGCCGAGTAAAACCCAACACCAAACTGCCCAATCATGCTTACATCAGCACCAGCAGTAACAGCTTCCATAAACTCCTTAGTTCCAGACCTTGCAATGGTACCAAGGTTGTTCACCAAGTCTGTCACAAACAAAGATAAGTTAAACACCAAACAGAAACATAACCCTAACCAATAACTGTAACAAAATTCAGACATCAACAGTTGCAAACAGGATAATTAGATGCTTACCAGACTTGGTCATTCCAATGCCACTGTCGACAATAGTGAGGGTATTGGTTACCTTGTCGGGTATAATGTGAATGAAAAGCTCAGGTTGGGCATCGAGCTTGCTCTTGTCAGTCAAGCTATCAAAACGAATCTTATCCAAAGCCTAAAAAACACAGAGATTCAAGGACTGCATAAGCTAACGCTACCACATTCATACCCATTAACTCTACCTTTATCCAATCATACCACATAACACAAAATTGCATTTGCATTCAATGAAAGAAGAAAGTAAAGAACATAATTTTGTTTCCGATTCCAAACTAGTAATAAACCATGAAAATTTTCAAAACCGGATAAACGAAAGGATTATAAAAATATATTGACTTTTGACGTGATTAAAACCTAACAACAAAAGGGTTCATCAGACGACATCAATCTAAAAATCAGCTTAAAACACAACTAACTACATGCATTGATTACTCTATTCATATAAAAACATTAAGGGACAAAAGAGTGAAGAATACAGGGATATCTGACCTCATTAAATCACAGCAACAAATGGGTTTATCAAACACAACATTAGAGTCCAGAAATTCAGCTTTATTCATAAATTGACATTTATCGAAGCACGGCTACAAAAGGGCTTATCAGAAAAAACATCAGATACCCAAATTTCAGAGAGAAAAACATATTGAGCGACATACATTAGTTGCACAGTTTGGATCTTTAACATCACTAAATCACAGCAATAATAGGGTTCACAAACAGAACATTAGAGCCCCAAAATTCAGCCAAAGTCATACATTTATACGTTAATTAAAAAGAAACACAAAACAAGAAAGAGAGAGAGGCATACATCAGAGGAGTTGCTGATGAGTTCACGGAGAAAGATCTCCTTGTTGCTGTAAAAAGTGTTGATGATCAAACTCAGCAGCTGATTGATCTCAGCCTGGAAAGCGAACGTCTCTGTATCCGCCATTGTGATTGCCCTGCTCACAAGGAAAGAAACCAGAACGAGACCGTAAAAGAGAGAGATTGAGTTAGGAGATCTAGAGGGTTCAGAAAAAAACCAAGAATTGAGGAAGGGAGGAGTGTTGGGAGTGGTTTTATAGAGAAAGGGAAGGGAAGGTCCTTGTTCTAGATCCTTCTTCTCCTTGTTGACGTTAACGTACTAGAATCTTCTTTTGCGTGACTGACCTTAGTGGATTACCCAAGCCGAGTAAGTTACATATTGGTCCCTCTAGTTTTTGTAACCAAATCGAATAATCCATTCAATTTTACAAACCGATTAATTAACCCTTTAATCAATGTTGATCATCTTGATTTGGAAGCTTAGTAAAAAAAATACAATATTCCTTTTATTTTTTAAAAAACTAGTGAATTGATCCTTTAAACAGTGTTGATCATGCAGGGTTTTCAAAAATTGTCTTATTGTTTTGTTAATTTTAATAGAATTAATTAAAAAATATATGTAATATTTGCTATTTAGTGGTAGTAGTGTTTACACCTTTTCAATCGTGTCCTTCCTTCTTGCTTTTACATCCTTTATATATTACATAATATGTTAGATTTTAAAAAAATATGATGAAAATGTAGATTTAATTTTCAAAATGAATTCTGAAATTGAGAAGATGTATAAAAAATAAAGCTACACAATTAGCAAAGACATACAATTACCGAGTATCATATAAAACACACAAAAATATATAAATATAAATATAAATATAAATTTGATTTTCAAAGAATAAATATTGAATACAATAATTTATGTAAAATATAAAACTATATAATTAGCTTTTTTTAAAAAAAATTAAAACTTTTTTTTGAGGTTATAATATATTTTTATTTAAAAACAAAGAAACCAGGTTGTTAAATCTAGTTAAGGTCATGTTCTAGATCAACCAACTTAGTTTAACATTTAACATGATGAATTGAAAATATTATTGTTTTAATATATTTTTATAAAAAATATAAAATCCATATTATTTTAATTTTAATTTTTAAAAGGTGAACTTGGTTTGGATAGACCGTAGGGAGTCAACTCCATCAAGATTAATTTAAAACTAATTAATTAGGTCCGAAAACGACGTCGCCATGTTGAGTAGATGCATGGGTTGAACAAACTTGGGTACTACTAACTGATGAAGTAGTTTGAGGAAGTAATATTATATTATTTCTCACGTTAGAAATATTAATTAATTCATTTTAATAGCTACCAGGATTAATTTATAATCAACTTTTCTTATAATTGAGCTACCTGGATTCATTAGTAATTTTAAAAATATATATAAATACTATTTTACGTTATTTTTTTAAAATTTATTTTTGATATCAATACTTTAAAACAATATAAAAACAATAAAAAAATAAAATTTAAATTTTTAAAAAACAACATTTTAGCCACCATCCAGTTCACGATCAATCCCATTCCATCTAAACTCATTTTCTTCCAATCATTTCTTTTTATTATTATTTGTATTTCCCTGGCCAGGGCAAGGTGTCTTCTAAGGACAGGAGTCGATGCTTGTTTTCGTTTTGAATGAAAAGGGGCCGGGAGCTAGTAGCTAAAACTGGCGGGGTTGGCTGTCCAGCTACAGATTCAACTTGAAGAACATATGATATTGTGTTATTTATTTTCATACGGGTAGGGGTCTTTTGTATTAACAGGTTCATGGAAGCCGGCGTGGGCTTTTTATTCAGAAATCTATTGACGTGTGTTTTGAACACGCCAGTGGATGGATGGTGTCTGCACCATGTAGATGGTGTGTATGATGCCACTCGGTTGATTTTTCAGAAAAACTCCCGAAAGAGGTAATAAATGAGGCAGTAGTGCTGGATTTGCAGGTCATCCATGCTGCATATCTGCAAATTCTACTCTTCTTCTTAATGAAGGAACCTTGACAAATTAATAGATTTTACCTAAAAGCGGCGGCCTTCTCTTTCGGACTAGATGGACAATCCACACTCTTCTGCTATTTTAAACTCCAGTGGTATCATGCATGTTTAAAATTCCAGTGGTGTAAAATGCACTGCCCTCTAATTGATGGAACTGTTGAAGCATGGGGTTAACTTCTCTCAGATGTTTCATTGCCATCCATGCATGTACTGTGTTTATAAGGAAAACGCATGCAATTTTCCAAGCCATTAATTTCTCTGATACACATAATTGGCCAGGAAAAATTAGAGCCACCTGCTGCGAGAAATGGAAGAAGTGGCAGTAATTATTGTAGGAGCTGGCCCTTCAGGCATAGCAACCTCCGCATGTCTCAATCGACTTGAGATTCCAAACATTGTGTTAGAAAGGGAGGGTTGTTGTGGCTCTCTATGGAAGAAAAGAGCATATGACCGCTTGAAGCTACACATCCCTAAGCAATACTGCGAGCTGCCCTACATGTCCTACCCTTCTAACGCACCAACATTTGTTCCCAGGAATGGCTTCATTGCTTACTTGGATGAATATTTGTCACATTTTGGCGTTACCCCGCGATTCAATAGGTCGGTGGGACTCGCATTTTACGATGTTGATGCTGGGAAATGGCGCCTTGAGGTGACAAATGTTTGCTCTCATGTAAAGGAAGTTTACGTCGCGCAGTTTCTCGTGGTTGCAACCGGTGAAAATGCTGAAGGTGTTATTCCTGATATCCCCGGCCTTGGTGGCTTTGCAGGGGAATACATGCATGCTAGCCAGTTTTCTAATGGAAGAGAATACAGAGGAAAAGATGTTTTAGTTGTTGGGTGTGGGAATTCTGGCATGGAGATTTCATATGATCTCTGTCAATCAAATGCCAGGACCTCCATTGTTAATCGCAGCCCGGTAGCCAATTTCTCCATAGAATTCAATACTGTTCATAAGATTAATTTATTGACTCAAACTGTTTCTCTCCTGACATGTCCAGGTACATGTGGTCACTAAGGAAATGGTCAGTCTGGCAATGATTTTGCTGAAATTTCTCTCTGTCACATCAGTGGACACAATCCTCGCAAAGCTTTGCAAATTAAGGTTTGATGATCTGTCCGAATACGGGATTCAAAGACCAGAAGAGGGTCCATTTTATCTTAAAAAAACGCAAGGTCGATCTCCCACCATCGATGTTGGGTGTGTGGACAGAATCAAGGAAGGAAAAATCAAGGTAATTAAGTATGACATATAATTACAATATTAACGAATCTCTTAATTTCTCCTAGGTCGTCGTCTTCTCCACTTGTCATGCGACGAACAATGATACGATCAGTCTGTGATAGGTCTTTCCATCCATGGCAAACATACAAGGAAAGAAAATTGAATTTACGAACGGCGAGAGCAATCAGTTCGACGTCATTATCTTTGCCACTGGCTACAGAAGCACTGTGGGAAGATGGCTAAAGGTGTGCTCGACGACTTTCATTGCATTGAATGTGTTTAAGCACGCACGTAAATGTTGAGGAGATTAATTCTATGATCGATCAAGCAGGGTGGTGAGGAGCTCTTCGATGACAATGGATTCCCCAAACAAGACTTGGTGAACAAGTGGAAAGGATCAAATGGTCTTTACTGTGTTGGATTTGCAAGAAACGGCTTGCTCGCTATTTCAAGCGATGCCAAAAACGTATCGCAAGACATCAGTACTCTGATTCTGAATTGTCAAAACTGCTGAGAAATATTCCTTCTGTGACGAGTCTCAGGCTCCCTTTTCTTTTCACCCTGATTTTCATCTTAAAAACAGGAGCAATAAATAGCTTAGACAAGCGAGTTCTTAATACTTCTTGTTTGTGGTAGGTAGAGGATGAACACCAAGTGTTTTCATTGGAATGATAAATATACCATTTTGGTTTGGCTAGCAAATCTCTTTAATTTGTGTTTATTTTATTTTTACTTAACAATCCTTTTTAGTGGAGAAAGACTTAAGTGCCCCTAGAATCTTCTATCCTAATCCTAGTTTTTGACCTTTTGTAATCACCAGATTACATTCTTCCACTTGCCTAAAAATTAAAAAGCTTAATTGGATGGCAATATTGCGATATCGAATAATCATGGTCGATCAATCGGGTCATTTAGAGTGAATGGGAGCCCTAAGGTAGGCCCAAATAGTGAAGAAAAGAAGTATTAAGATAATAAAAAGCCCAAAAGAACAAAGAGAGGAGACAATGGTGTTCAAAATCACTCAACAGACAGGGGATAGGAGAGAAGAGAACAGGTCTGTGCTCTGCTGCTCTATTTCTCTCTCATCACTCTCAGGTGGGTTTTTCATGCTTGATCATTTTATATTTATTTACAATTCCTTTCTTTTTTTATATATAACACAAAGGCTGACTCCTTGCTTCTCTTGTGTTTTGCTTGTACATGGGAGTGTTGCAGAAAGCATACAACTTTAAGCTGCAAAATGGAGAAAGGAGGAGGAAAAGGGTTCTCTCTCCCATCCAAAGAGCCTAAGTCTTCTCTCAAGTCCTGTAAGGATGCTTTACATTACTCTACATGCATTTTTCCATGTGTTCCTGCTATTTTTATCTTCATAAAAGAAGAAAATTTAATGGGGTTTAATTAAATAAATTTATCAAAATTCTTTGCTCTACCCTAAGTCTATGGAGGGTATTACTGTTGTGTTGGTTCATCCTTGTGGTTTAGGGTTCTGTGAATTTTGGGTTCTGCTTGCTTTTCTCTAATATCTTCGTTTTTTTTTATTTGTAGCCTTTATTTAGGTTTTGTTTTATTACCACTTAGTTTATCTTAGTCTTCTCCTTCAAGCAATTTGCAACATTGGAACTATTTGGAGGCGCCATTATAACTGAAGTACTGAACGACGTGAAAAGGCTTTCATGTTTTTTTTTTTTTTTCAATGAAGACCCCACATGCACGGTTCATTTCTCTATTCTTCTTTTTTCTGGACTGGACAATAATTGAAACTACTCATGGTTTCTGTTTGAATGTCTTTGCTAGCATCGACTAAAGGAAAGGATGATTCAAATAAAGGAAGGAAAATCCATTTTGAGTCTGAAGGTAGCATATTTATGTGTACTTTGACTCAATCTCTTACCTTTTCTATTTCTGGGATTTGTTCTTCATACTTGTGTTTTACTATTTAAAATGCATTTCTTTGAGAATTTCTAAACAGTTTCTGCTCCTTTTCTTATACTCATCAGCATTTTGTAGCACTGATCTTACTGTGCATCATTGTTTCTCGGTGGGCTTTTATTTATTTATTTATTTATTGATTTCTGTTGATTTTCTTTATACAATCAAGGTAATTTGAGCAAGGGGGGGAAAGGAGGCAAGATTGCAAATGGTGGGAAAAGTCCAATGACTAAAGAACCACCTCCACTTGAGCTAAAAATTGAGTCAGGTATATATTCTTATCCTAGCTTTACATATCTCATTCATCAAATCTCCAAAGATTCATTTACTTGTTTTTCTTTACTAGAGAAAAAGAATTACATACTAGTTGCTATAACAATGTTAGCTCGTTATTTGCTCTCAATTCTAAACCGCTTTATACAGGGTTAATCTTTTCCAACTTTTCCAATGTTACTATGCATGGCATGCTTTATAAATGATTGTAGGGCTTGCATTTCCTCTCTCAAAAAGTACACTCTATATTTACTGGATTCACAGTAATTTTTATTTCCTTGGGTAGGATACCGCTATACTATCATTATTTTTGCTTGTATATGCAGAACTCCCACAGAATGCCAAACCCCTGATGGATTGTGAGGCTGCACAAATCTTACAAGGAATCCAGGACCAGATGGTTCTGCTGTCTCAGGATCCAACCATCAAACTTCCTGTGTGAGTAACATGTACAAAGCTTCTATTATCAAGTAAAAGGATCTTGGAATGCTGAAATTGTGTTGCTTGTTTTCAGGTCATTTGATAAGGGGTTGCAGTATGCTAAGAATGGTGCCCGTTATACAAACCCTCAGTCTGTTAGACGAGTTCTTGAGTATCCTTGTTTTTATTGCTATAGGAAGTAGTTATAATGAACACGCGCTGATTATGCATTTTATATTAGTATTCTGTGATCAAACTATTGTTGAACCATTAACTCAAATGTCAGGGCGTTGAGAAAATATGGTGTCTCTGATGGAGAGGTATCAATCTTAACATGAGTTAGTTCTTTTTAAGGAAAAAAATAAATGCGGCTTTTAATTTCAACTTGATGAGTGCATTGCAGATATCTCTAATCGCCAATGTCTTTCCTGAAAATGCTGATGAAGCTTTTGCACTTGTCCCATCTTTGAAGGTATGATTTTGTTGTTTTTGGATATGAGTGCATTTCTCCTGTAACTATCCTGGGTTTTTTCATTCAATAGTCTAAAAACAGAACAAACTTTGTTGTGAAAAGCTGATGAATTGATGCAAAGCTTTCTTGATCCACTACTGTGGAAGGCATTATATCATAATTTTTTGATTTGTTTTCTCCGTTTTGTCAGTCTAAGGCTAGCACACTTAGAGAACCCCTGAAGGACATTTTAGGCGAGCTAGCGAAGTTTAAACAGCCAGCATGAATTTCCAAACAGTTGAGGGGGAGATTCTTGGCAAGATATCTCCTTTTTGCTGCTTGAGCTGGTGGCCAGTTTTCTGAATACGGATTCATCTCATTCATGGGGAGATGGAGATGACAATGTTGTGATGGATGGAGCTTGTATATTATAAACTCCTTGATAAGAAGTTTTTCATATCTTGCCTATTAACTACATTTAATGTAATTAACTCAGACTAGTAATGATCTATGTACTTTCTAACCATTAAAATCTTGCGTTTTTTGGGTTGATTGTTTGCCATTAGTAGATAGCAAAGAATGAATTGAACTGTTGAATCATCTCGCTAAAGCGTTGATGCATGTAACTCCTAAGGTCCCTTGGGGGATTAAGTAAGCAATGTTTGTTCCAGACTCGTTCTATGCCCTCTTTGCGTGATTTTGGTAGATTTCTTGCCATCATCTGTCAACTTCACAAGGAGTTGGCCAGCTCCTTGATGGTTCAAATTCTTAACAATGTGTCACTACCTTTTCTGTATGCTATTTGTAAAAGAACTTTTAGACTACTGTTATTCATCACAATACCCTCTAATATTTCATTTAAGAGATGCTTGCAAACAGACCAAGTTATAAAAAAAAATAAAAAAATTGATATTAATTAGTAAATGAACAACTCCAGTTAAAGTTCTGAGAGAATGGACGTGACTCGATGCATAACAAGTATGTTCAAGACTAAAGCACAAGTTTTTCTTTTTATCTATTTTCTAAGATAAAACCCGTATTTTATCTTTAAAAAGTATGTAATTACCTGCTAGGGAATAAGTTAAAATCCGAAATTAATTCAATATCCCAGTTTCTCATGGCAGCGAAGTAGATGTGTTTTATGCATTACCTATCAAAACACAGGATGTTAGTGGTTGGAGAAGTTGACTTCTCTTTCTCTCTTTCTTTAGCCAGACTTTCGGTTCTGCTCTCAACTTGGTTTCAACTACTGTTGATACCCAAGGCACTCTCTTTTTTCTTTCTTTACTTCAACTTGTTAAAGGGTTTCTTTTGTTTGGTTGACAAAAGAAAGAATTTTTAATGATCCGTAAAGGGTTTGTCTTTGTTTGAGTTGCAGATAACATAGCCAATAAATACAGTAATGGCGTAGGAAATGCGAGGGAACTAGAAGAGAAGGGAGGGTTAGTGCTCTATGGAGTGGATGCAATAGAGATGAGTCAGTGCAACTTTTTGAGGACTCAGAGGTTTGATCGAATTGTCTATCAACTTCCCTCATGTTGATTTCCTCTTCCCTGAGGGTAGCTAGTGCCAAATCCAGTTATGTTCTAGTCTCTTACACAATTTATATTCCCCTTTGCTTACTTATATAATCATATCATTATATTAGTCTATTTATTGTTTATTTTATGAAGTTAATTTTGAATTTCCTGTATTAGAATTCTTAATACCAATGAGATGGAGTCTAAATGATGCATTCCCACGTAAGAGCAAGTCTTTAAGCGAAGAAAACGAGAACCCACCAACTAATTTTCGCTTAATAAAACAACTAAAACTATCTGAATTCGATTCCTCTTCTTTGGGGTAGATATTGCCAAATCCAGTTATGTTCTCTTGCTCACTCTTTTCTTTAAGTTGTGTTTGTTGGTTCATGATTATTTCGGCTAGTCTCTGCATTGTTTCTTTCATTGAGTTTCTGCCCTCTCAAGGTAACATTGAACTTTAGTTATTTTAGGGTATTAGTTCTCTTTAAGACTTTAACAACGGATGGACATTCTAACTAGGCTGAAACTGAGGTGTAATGGTTTGAACCAAATATTTCATTTGAAAGTTACTGAAGGGCTTTCTTTCTTATGGTCATAGTAGCATGAAAAATGACTCGCGCGGGAAATTAATTACATTTCCTGAGCAGAACAAGAAACAGATGAATCTTGATTACATCATCATGCTTTTAAAAAGATTCATTCATGCACGAGATCGATCAAATTTGAATGGGAAGAACTGAAGAACTGTATGCTGAAAGGATGTGTTAAATTTTCTTAATATCTGTTTGCTTTCATGCCTATCTAGAGATCCTTGTGTAGTGATATGGATATATCGGAATTGGAAAAATTAAATGATGAAAATATGTTGGGATTGAAATAGGTTGAACAAGATATTGCTAAGGGGTTATTTGAGCAATGGCGAAGTCATGTTGAAAAAGGATAAAGGGGAGATTCGTGTAACACACAAAGGCGACAATGGAATTTAGTCAAGAAAGCAGAGAAGATAGGCTTGGTTTTTGCATGAAATTGTGCCCTTCTCCAAAGATGACTATCCAGGATATGACAACAAGAGAGAGCTCATGGAAGCCTTTCCGATGCTCCCTCTCGACTTGGGGATAGCAGTACTTAAAAGTTCAAGCCCAATCAGTCATCCAAGTTCAATAGATCATCAAGTAGAAATGCCTGAATGTTCTGTGGTGACAGATAACTGAGCAGAAGTACTGCTGATTCGGGAGTACATCTTGTGGAACATGTACTTTCATAAATTCATACAGCTGGTGTTTTGTAATAATTACTCGTATTTTTTGGTGTTCAGAAATCAAAATACTTTAGCAGCTGATTAGTACCATCTTAAACCAAATATATCCCTGATGCTTGCTTTGTCGAGGCTTCATGATTCATGAGGTGCTGCATAAAGGTACGCCTTAGGAGAAAGTCCTATGGTTACGACGGCATGCATGTTGACATGTTGGCTTTTATGACAGTGATTAATGAGAGTCTGTATGATCTCCATGGAAATTGTGTTCTGTATAACCCCATCTCCAGTGAAATTGGCATCTTTTTTTAATTGAAGAAATAACATCAAGCGTGAAATGACATGGATTTCTGGAGGATTCGCATGCCATTGACATGGAGGAACTGGTCAAAGTTTTATAGAGATAAACGGGGCGGATCCTAGCTAGTGCACAGGTTGAATATATATCCTCAGGATGAGCTGAGGAAGAGATGCAATTTTCTTCTTCGTTAAGGCCTTGATTACGACGCAAAACATACTCAAGCTAAAGTATTATATGTTGTCATTGTCTTGCATTGTTTAACATTGTGATGTAATAACTTATTCATGAAACTTATTCATGAAAAAGACATGGTGATTTACAGACAGCAATCCGGGAGTGCCAATTGTCCTTGTATATACGATCTTAACTATATATGCAATCCAACTTTTTGATAACCAGACCTGTAGCGTTTTTCAAAATGAAGGATTAGAGTATTTAAATAGAAAAGATATATATATAAATGACTAAAACATGTAGAAGATACACACACACACACACCACAATTTTGAAATGAATATTTTTAAAGCATAGAAAATACAATCGAAACGACAAGCCTGGAATTGTTCATTGTGTTTTCTTCTTAATTACCATGGATTTATCCCTGGTGCAAAGAAAATGTAGGTGAAACTTACGAAACCAGTACCTGTCAACATTGCTATTTTCTTAGAAATCACAGGATTGAATGCAGAAGAAGAAAAACAAGATGGACATTTGGTTGACCTGCTCAAATTTTACTTAGTAAATGAACTTTTAAAATCTTCTGGTGATATTAAATTATGGTGTAATAAAAAAATTTAGATAGTTTTTTTATTATTTAGGGTAGTAGATCAATTTTTTCCCCTTTGTTTTCTAAATCTGTTTATTTATTTATATCATTGTATTTTATTTTTGCTATTGATTTTATGGTATTTTCAATATACTCTTAATGATTATAAAAAAAAAAAGAAGATAAGATAGACATTCATATACCGTGTGAAATTATATCATTTGTAATATATGTCTTGTGAGAAAATAAATGGAAGGATGTAATCATCATCATTAAGAACATAGAATTTCATATGGTTGACCTGATCGATGGCTAGGGGTGCTTCATTCTTTCTTAATTGTCTAGTTGAGGCCATAATTAATGCTGTATAATATAGGGTAGAGTATTTTACCAGGAGCACAAGACAGGTTCCTGGTTTCTTCGAATAAAATAACTAGCTAGCTAGCACTGGTAAATTCATACATTACCATGGGGAACTACAACTCCACAACAGACTCTGGTCCTTCTGCTTATTCTCGACTTCCTAGTAGTCACTATTCTCCTGATGATGATCACCCCCTAAGTGACCCTCTTTTAAGCAATATTACACAGGTTAAGTATCGATTTATTATTATTATTATTTTATTACCACTTGATTTGCTGAACATGTTCATCTGGGTCTCGAACATTTAGTATGATAACTTTGTTTGTTGATTATGGCATGCAGAGGATGGAGGAGCAACATCAGCAGCTTCTTCATCATATTTATGAAGCAACTCGTGTAAAGGAGACTGTAAAATCTGTCACTACGTCTAGCTCTAGCTCTAACCCTAACCCTCCTCCCTCTAAGCCCACGGTAATATTTAGGTTTTTATTTTCATTTCCTGATAAATTTTACCTCATCAATTAATTTCGTGTTGAATATATATATATCTGATGATTACTCCAACCCATGAAGGAGCAAAAGCCGAATGGTCACCATGCCCTTGAAAAGGAGCTTCATCAAGAGTTGATGATCAGGCATGGAGATGCAAAGCCAAAAGCGTTAGCTTCATGCCCTTCATGTTATGTGAGTCGTTGATCCTTTCACTGCATCAATCCAAATTAACACATCATTTCTGATGAATATTTAATATACGATGTGAAATCTAATTAATAGCTGAAGGGGTAAATAATAATTTGCTGGTAATAAATGGTTGTCTTCAATATTGTTAATTAATTTGTTGTTGATGAAGAAACAAGGAGAGGCCATTCAGAGACTGAAGGAGAAGAATGCTAGTCTAGAGAAGAGAGTCATGGAGTTGACAGCTACTATAGAAGAGATGAAGAGCTCCAATGATTCATACATTAATAATAAGAACATCAAGATACCTGCAGCAGGCTCAGGCTCAGGCTCAACACCTCATCAGATCATCATCAGCACTCCAATTATATCTGATGATCTTATAAACCTGCAAACTAGTCCAGCTCCTGATAGCACCAATGAAATTGATCAGATGAAGGATAATTCAATGATGAGTGAACAAAGCTCCACGACGCAAGCTCTACAATCTGAGATCATCTATGGATCCCTGAATGATCTTACTGGATGCTTAGTGGTTTTGATCTTTCTAGTGGCCGTGCTCGTTGGTGTTTTACTATAAACAATCACCATTGCATAGTAATAATTAAGACATGTATAAATATCTTATGCGTGCATGTGCTCATCATGATACATCTCTTTCATGATTTTTGTAGCCTTTAGTTGAATAAAAAAGACGAAGACCGTTCTTCTTTCTTTCTGTATTTCTAAGCTTTTTTTTTTTTTTCTGTCGATATTTTATTTTGGATACTGAGTACTTTATAGTTTTTTAATATACTCTTAATGATTATATTAAAAAAGAAAGAGAAAGAGAAAGAGACAAAGACAGCCCTTTATATTTTACTTATTTATTTTCAAAGCATTTAAATCCAGACAAGAACTTATTTAGAAGCGAAATAGAAATAGAAAGAAGCTAATCCATCATGCATCCATGAAGGTTGTTTCGTGAGGTTTACACAAGTAGATATGTAGAGACAGACTCACCACCCTAACAAAATTACTATATCTGCTGTGAAATCTAAACACTCGTTACGAAAGATCATGACAGTCCAATTACAGTTTCCCACGTGGAATTGTTATTAACCAGTCAAAGTTCTTGTATCCGGGGAAGCTATCATTAAAAGTCTAAGGATAAAAAAAGAAAGAAAAAGAGTTGAGTATTTGGTAAGTAATTTTATTTTAACAAATAAAGAAAAATAAAAGAAGAGAAATTATCATTGACCTAATCAAAGGATTGTGTTCGACAAAAACAATGTTTTTTATCCTTTATTAATATCTTGTTGTCTCACTCTAGTATTACATACCCATCAAATCTCAAAACCATTCTCAACTTCTTAATCTAATTATTTTTAAAAAATTAAAATAAACTCATTTGAGACTAGATTAAATTATAAACTAGATAAATCCAAGTTAAAAAAATAATAAAACTAGTTGGTTCAAATAAAAATCTATGTTAATATGCAACCAAGTTAAGATCAAACCCTTAACTAATTAACTTAATTTTTTTGATAAAAATAATATCATTTTGATTCTTTAAAAAAATTGAGATTAACCTGGAATAAATTTCCTGATATATGACTCCGGTTTTAGATTGATCCCGAATTGGGTTATATATATATA